GATTTCACGATTGCCGTTTTGTGGCTACGCTAGCCAATGTCGTGCGGGTGCCGAGGCTACTCCTGATATATGCGGACAAAACAATGCTTCGTTTGCGTCTGCAACGACGTCGAACTAGAAATTTGCCTCACTGACAACAACTACTTACTAAAATCGTCATATTGGACAAGGACTGTTGCTGAAGCAAATATTATAGACATTGGCAAGCGTTCTTCCACGTCCGAATTAAGGGTCAACTCATGTTCGACAGCGCGCTTTCTCATTTGGTCCCAAGAGCTTGAAGAGTGATGTCGAGAACTTTAGAAGTTGCTTACCCTACGACTCGTTTCGTTGCCTGGATACAAAGTCAGTGCATACTACTCATTTACGCAAATTCATTCGATTCCTCTTCCATGACAAGGATGAGTCATCCTCACTGGAGTGAGGTGTCCACGCCTGTTTGCGGTAGCAAATTTTCGCGTACCTTTAATTTGGGGCATCTTCCTATCTGAACTGGTTTTGCAGTTAGTCGACTGTAATCGCTAAATACTAATCATTCATTTATCAGCCGTGCAATGCGACCTGCCTAACAACTTTTCTACTTTTACGATTGACACAATGACATTGAATGCCATGTGTCGTCCATATACCTCTTTCTTCCACGGTCTTTCCTTGATCCAGGCTCCGTGCATTATTGCCATTGCAGTCCGCTGCTGTACTTTCCAACGATTCTTCACCTTTCTTCGTCTAAGTAGAGGCGCTGCAATTATGCATAACTGTCGACAATACAGTATCTTTCATAAAGCGCAACATCTTGTTTTAAAACTATTCAACATTCTTCCAAGCAGTTATTTACCCAACGTTAACTGCCTACTTCAATTCTTTAAAATGATTTGGTGGCGTGGTCACGCAGTAACAAAGAGATTGGGATTGAACTCTGGAGGTACCGAGTTTGAATCCGCTGAGACCATCTTTCCCTTCCCTTGAGCGAGGAAACAGGCCGACGCTACTTCGACGCAACCAGCCGCCAAACGGCTAAGTCGATGACTGGCGAATGGCACAGAGACAGCATGGTATTTTGCTCTGGTAATGCCAGACTGTAAGAGGTGAACGGCCATGCTGTCCGACTCGAGAGCCCCTGTGACCGTGTTTCGTCACGACCCATCTAATAGCAGTCACTGTTATCGTCATCTGAGGTATCAGGGTTAAGCGGAGTACCCAGATGAATGCCTGATAACTGACATGCAGTGTAATAATCAGCTAGTGTAACCCGATTTCCGATAGGCTTTATGACGCTTTTTAAGGAGCGAGTGAATGACGTGTGACGACGATTAACAGTAGTTGGCAGATTGGGCGAATTCATTTCGCATCATTGCAGTCTTCGCATAATCCATCGGAAGACTGCGATCGAATATTATTCCGAAGGCGAAAACGTTTCACAGGACGTCAGACGCCGTACCGTTTTTGTGACCATCGCCTTAAACCACTTGCATTACCAGAAAAGTTTCGATTCGTAACGTCAGTTTTCAGCTCTTTTCAGCCTTTCAACACTTTTACTATACGGCAGCAGTTGCTTCATAAAGAAACATTCTTTTTCTGAACGTTCACATACTCTTTAACTTTTTTCGCCGTTGTGTGCTGGTCCCCTGATCGACGACGAAATCGATCAGAACAGACACGCACAGTAACGATGACGGTAACGAAGGCGATATCAACTTCATTTATTGGTTATACACAAAAACAATATAAAAAGTACAAACAAAAATTATCAAGCAATAAATGTAAGTTCGTTAAACTAGTCGTCCAGAAGCACAAAACGATGCAGGCGGTACCGTCAAGTGGAATAGGATTGCAGTATACTACGAACGGCCTTAGCAATTAATTCACTCAAAGAAGTGGCAGAGATTGAACACGACGTTCATCATCACGATCTACAACAATTTCGATTGTAGGCATTAAATGATTAACAGAACCGAATCCGAACTTGAAACAGGATACCACGTAGGTGAATTTTATAAACTGATCTCCAGTAAGTGAGGGGTTCTTCGACATGAAGCGACCGCCGGTAGCGATTGACGGCAACAGCCTCAGGCGACCTAGTTGAATAAGAAAAATTATCATTAACCGCTCTTCCCATTAACATCAGTATACATATCTCACATTCCACTTGTGAAGGAATATAAGTAACAACTTCGTCACAAAGCCATATGCATCGCTTCTGGAGCTAAAATCGCACGAACAGGTACAATGCATTCTCAGCAGAGGCATCGATTAACAAACAGAATTTTTAGTGAAAAAAAATGAACGTAATTTCATGCGCAACGCTTTCGCTGCGGGAAACATTTACTACCGTTTGTTTCCCTAGCCGCGTCGTCTATCTGTCAACGATGAACGAATGGCGTATCGCATCGTTAAGAGGAATCCGTTTTCCCGGGTCGAGTATCAAAATTTTATCCAAAAGGTCCTTGAGTCGCACAACTTTCTTGAACGCGTTCTCGTCGAGGTGCTGCACTCCCGTCAGCTCACTAAGCAAGTCTCGAGCTGGCTGTATGATCGAAAGCACGGTGACTTTCTCCTACAACGAAGATGATGAAAAAACTAGACAACGCACATTTTACTGTTTCAAACAACTCCATGCACAACTGATGTACTTGTTTGAAACTCAGCACTCCATTTTGCCTAGCTAATCAACGGTTACAAATCTGACAAAACGGTATGTACAGTAGGCAAAGACGAACACACATACATGTACTACGAAGAGGAAAAGCAAATCTACGACTTTCGCATTGTAACAGAAATTCTAGTGCTCCCTGCGGCATGTCACATTTTTAAATGATCGCTAAGTGTATACGCAGGTGCAACTTTCGAAAAAGCTTCAGAATAAACCTGCTTTTTAGAGGAACCCAGACCGTTTCAGAACAGCCGATTATCTTTAGAAATTCGGTCTGCTGTGGTAGTTTGTTGTCACGGTAGGAGTGATCAAATTCAGCTTTTAAAAAATTTTTCATAAGAACACTCAGTGCAGCTGCAAAGTACACAGAAGCGGGTTTCGACAACGCCCAGTAATCTTCTTCAGTCATAATCGTCTGATTCATAGATAACGATGATTTCTGAAATAACTCGTTCAGATTCTGACGTCGTCAATCATCGAATGGTTCATTCGATACCGTCGTACAGGAGACTACACGCACGCACATACACACAAAAGCACACAAATTCATCAGTATTTGA